TTCTGTTCTGTTTAATTATTTGCTTTGCTTAGTGGTTTTTTCCTTTGTGTATCTAAACTGTCTTTCAATATTTTTTGCAGGGTCGGTTTGGTGTTCATGAAGTTCTTCAGCTGTTCTTTGTCATGGAAGTATCGTATTTCACCATCTATTTTGAATGATAGTTTTGCAGGATATATCAGTCTTGGTTGGAAATCATTTTGCTTTAGGATCTGGAATATTTCACTCCATGCTCTTCTTGACTTTATCGTTTGTGCTGAGAAGTCTGCTGTGATTCTGATAGGTTTTCCTTTATAAGTGATCTGTCTTTTCTCTCTGACAGCTTTTAATAATCTATTCTTATGTTGCATTTCTGGGATGGTGATTATTATATGTCTGGGTGTAGTTTTATTTTGGTTATGAGTGTTTGGAGTTCTATATGCTTCACTGATCTTGATGTCAGTTTCTGATCTCATGCTTGGGAAATTTTCAGCTATTACTTCTCTAAATATCCTCTTGACATCCTTTATGTTGTCTCCCTCTCTTTCATTAATCCCTATCATTCTTATGTTATTCTTCTTTGCATCGTCTTGCAGTTGTTGAATTGTTGTTTCCTGATTGCTTGTTATTTTCAAAAGATCTTTCCTTTCCTGTTCACTAGCTGCAATCATGTCTTCAAGGTCTGAAATTCTATCTTCACTTTCATTAAGGCGGTTTTTACAACTTTCAGTGGAGTTTTTTATTTCCTGTATATCTCTGTGCATCTGCATTATGTATTCTGTTTGTTTCTTATATTGCTCGTCTAGGGATTCTGTCTTTTTGTTTAGTTCCTCCAATTTTTTTTCTGTGTTTTCTTTAGATATATTTAGAATCTCTTTCATTTCTTTTATCATTTCTTCTTTTATCTGGGAGATTATTTCGAGTTTGAATTTCTTTAAAGCTTCCTGGAGTTGTTTGTCAACTTCAGTAGCTATTATGTCCGATATATGAGGTGGATGGGATATATTTTCTTCTATATACATTGCTCCTAGGGTTTCCTGAGATGGGCTGGAGGTTTGAGGTTGTAATTTGGTCTTTCGTTTTGTCATTTTCTATATTTCTGTGTTTCAAGTGTTATTTGAAAGCTTCCTCAGGATCTGTTGAAAATCCCCTTCTATGTTTGGAGCTACTGAGACTCTGACACCACACTACCCCAAGCCATTGGGCCTACAGAACCAGTGGCCCTCCTCTGCCTGCTCAGAACTCCGCAGTTCCAGACAAGCTGGGCCTCAGGGACACTGTGCGCCCACCTGCCCCTTGGAAGATCCACAGCTCTTCAATCGCAGCCGGGTTAGGGTGCTCACCACAGGCCGCAGTGCCTCAGGAGCCTGTGATCCCTCCCTGCTTGCAGAGATATCCACAGTCCTCTAGGCAAAGGAAGGGACTTCTGCAGGCACTCCAGATCCGCCCATCTCCTCCTCTGCAGGCAGATGGCTAGGCTCGGCTGGGCTCAGGGGTTAGTGTAGGCCCGCCCATCTGTCAGGAGCTCAGCAGACTTCCAAGTGTAGCCGGGAGGGATGGGGAGGCGGCTGTAGTGGCCTCTAACCCACTGCTCCACTTCACTGCACCCAGAAGCCTGGGGGGTCTGGAACAGTCTGAGATTTGAGCAGACTGTGCTGGGCACTCACCACAGGCTGAGGTGCCTCAGGAACCTGCGATCCCTCCCTGCTTGCAGAAGTATTCAGTCCTTCAGACAAAGGAACGGGCTTCTGCAGGCACTCCGGATCCGCCCAGCTCCTCCTCTGCAGGCAGATGGCTAGGGGCGGCTGGGCTCGGGGGTTAGTGTAGGCCCGCCCATCCGTCAGGAGCTCAGCAGACTTCCAAGTGTAGCCGGGAGGGATGGGGAGGCGGCTGTAGTGGCCTCTAACCCACTGCTCCACTTCACTGCACCCAGAAGCCTGGGGGGTCCGGAACAATCTGAGATTTGGGCAGACTGTGCTGGGCACTCACCACAGGCTGAGGTGCCTCAGGAACCTGTGATCCCTCCCTGCTTATAGAAGTATTCAGTCCTCTCTCCAGAGATTTTAAAACCCGTTGCTAAGTTCTCTACTTCACAGTCATGTATGTGTGTGTGTGTGTGTGTGTGTGTGTGTGTGTGTGTGTAACTTTTGATGGAGCTCAAGGCCTTCTTCACTTGTGAGGGGGGTGGGTAGTACTACTAGTGACTGAGTCCAGGGATCACAGAGCTGCATGCCAAGCCTCATTTCCTTAATTGGGCATTTCTGTTTTGAGATTGTTTTGTTTTTTCTTTCAGGCTGTCTTCGCACTTATGATTGTCCAGTCCCAATCTCCCCAGTGTCTGGGATTCCAGGCACACATCACTGTAAGATTGCTTTTGTTTTTTCTTTTTTCTTTGCCATACTAACAGGTCATTGCCTCAGCCATTAACTGATTATTAGAACACCTAGCAAGATTGTGAGTGGCATTGCAGCCAGTGACGTGCATACCAGCATCTTGCAAAAACTATGCAAGACGATGTGATATGGGGATTTATCATTTTCATGAACATCACTGATTTTCCGTTCCACAGTTGAGAGTATTTTCACTAAATAAATAGCGTTAGTGCTCTTGTAGAAGAAGAAAAAGATTTAAAATAGCAGCCATCCTGGCACAGCCACTGGTGATTGTTACATATCTGCAAAGTGAGTTTTAGGGGATCAGGCTGCCCGGAGTTCTGTTGGCAGTAGAGGGTGACAGGGGGTGATGATTCAGGTGAGAAAAGTGTCAGGTACTGGTTTAGAATTCTGCATTTGGGAACTATGAGTGTTGTAGCTCAGTGGCTGAGTGTTTGACAAGGTTGTGTGAAGCCTTGGGTTTGATCCCCAGCACTCTAAAATACAGAGAAAGAGAGAGGAGAGAAGACAGGAAGGAACATTTTATGTACACTTGCGCCATTCAAATGAATTGTTTTGTGTGTGTGAATTCAGTATGGCCTAGTGGAAACATTCTGTAAGTGGCAGTTCCTATTTGATTCTCCTCAGTCAGGGAAGCCAGACCAGTGAGAACAGCTCCTCATTTTCAGGCTTCTGAAAGCCCCTCAGTGTGGAAAGGAGAACTCTGGGCCCAGGATTAAGAGGAGAGTCTTTGAGTTCTCTTTTCCACTAGCTTACTGGATGACATCAGAAAAATCACTTCGTGGGCCTCAGTGTCTGTTGAACTTTATTTTTAGCGGCACCACTTGAGTCCCAGTGGTCCCTTACTGAGGAACTCTGATTTTAAAATGTTGATAAGGGCAGGGTCAATGTGGAATTGAGTGTCTTTGAGGAACAGCATGCAGCACCCTGAGGCTGTCCCAGGTCCCAGCCTGGAGAGTCATTTGCTGAGCTACAGACAGAGCAAGGTTATGGGGGCTCAGAAAGGAGGCTGTCAACACTTGCTTTGAGCTTCGGCCATCTGCAATGCGAGCCTGTGGCCTGGAGCCTGGGGTAGCCGCATCCTCACTCCCAGTGTCTCCCAGCATGTGTGACTGTCTCCTGACTGCAGCAGCCCTGTCCTATGTGCTTGCTCCATTGTGACTGTGGTGCTTAGGTATCTTTTGTCCCTCCTGTCCCCCTTAAACCTGCCTCCTTCTGTGACTGGCTTGAAGACCACTCTGCTCCTGCACTTCCTTCTGCTGATGACACTGTCACGTGGTGGTGTCCCTTCCCCAGGAGCTGCTCTCACTGGTGGCGTCACCTCAGGTTTGTGCTTTTCCTTTTGCCTGCTGTCTTCCCTTGTGCTCCCCCATCCTCCTTCCCAAAGAACTGTGCCCTCCACAGTTTCCTTTCCTCTCTCTGGGCAGCCTGGTGCCTAGAACCGTGTGTCTTCTCCCTGGGGACTGAGATGAGGAGGCCACAATGAGGCTTGTCACTGTGGTGTGGGAAGATGGCTGAGCTTATCCGGGTGATTCTTACAGGAGGGCAAATCACTGCCTTGTAATTGTCTGTTTGGATGAACCAAACCATGCTGCCAGTGACTCCAATCCCACTGATAGAAGCCAGTGAACCTTTCCTACTGGGTCAGCAGTCATTAGGCAGAAGAGTCAGTGCAGGTCACTGCCCATGAGGCTGTGCCCCTTCCCTGCAGTTAGGGGCTTACTCAGGAAGCAGCAAGTCATCCCCAGCCTCAGGCCAGGCTCTTCCACAGATGGCGCTCAAGAGCCAGGAGGCCCAGTGTCTGCAGCAACAGTGACACCAGCTCCTGTCCCACTTGTGGCAGCATGCAGAGGCCTGGTGTCAGCTGACCTCTCAGAAAGACACCCAGCTCAAGTTCTGTTGCATACAACAGCTCATGGTGCAGCTGCTCTGTGAGGAGAATCCGGCAAGAGGAGAGCCGGGTAATGGAGCTGTCCAGGTTCCTGCATGGAGGACTGGGCCACCTCCCTGCCTTCTCCATGTTCTCATCCTACCCACCACAGCGTCTGGAAGCCACCAAGCAGCAGAAGCAGCAGTCGTCCCCGTTGAGCCTCCTCCTTCTGTGTTGGCAAGGTGGGTGGAGGTGCCTGAGGGCAGAACGGAGCCTCAGGAGGACTTTTGGTGACAGAGGCCTGTAGAGTGCTGGGGTGGTCATTGTCTTCCTACAGCACACATCAGGGTCAAAGTAGAGAGGGTCTGGTACTTCTGTTGTGGGGTTGACCATAGATCACTCTGGCAGCTCCCAATAGAAGATGAAGGGGACAAAGAGGACAGGAATGTTCAACGTGGACCAGTGTGACCATGCCTGGGACAGCCTAGAGGCCAGGGTGAGCTGCACTGGTCTTTGTCTTTTCTCTGTGCTACCTTCCCTGCTTCCCTTTACGGTCCCTTTGGACACCCCAATACCTTGGCCTTCCCCACCCTCTGATTTCCCTGGACCCCATGCCTTCCCTGGGAGGCAGCAATCAGACACCATCCCCTTTGGAACAACAGATGCTGGCACAGACAGGGAGCTTCTTTGTGCCCTTTGCTCCAGCTTGTCTTGAGCAGTCCTCCCACAAAATCACACTCTGCTTCCTTCAGGCAGCATTATTAATGAAGATTTCTCCAGTGCCCACGAAGCACTCACTTGACAGCATCGGCAGCTGAGGGAACAGAAGCAGCCGTGCCAGTGCCTGGCTTGCCTGGCAACCCTGACCAAGGGTGAGGCTGAAGAGGTGCTGGCTCCAGTAGAGAGGATGACTGCCTGTCTGGGGAAAGCCACCAGGCTCGAAAGCAGGCCATGGCAAAGCTGATGGTGAGTGCGTCTGCCCTGCTGGGCTGGGGAGAGGAGGTGGGAGGGGGTCTTCTGGCTCCATTTGGCAGTCATGCAGAAGATGGAGCTCAAGGAACAGCTGGAGGAACTGGAACATTGCTGCCTACAGCTCTCTGGGACCACATGTGCCTTCAGTGGGCTGGGCCAGGGTCCCCAGCAGCAGAAGCTGTGAAGTGTGGGGATCAGGGAGCCCTGCGATTCCAGCCCACTGTCCCCCTCCCCACAGCAGAAGGCATTGTAAAAAGTGTCTGCTCTCTTGCAGCAGGGCTGAGTGGCATCTTCCGTGCCTGTTGCCTGGATGCCGCTCTGAGATCACAAGGACAGTCAGTGCCATGTGTGCTCCAAGGGCATCTTACCACAGTGGGCCATAGACTGCAGCCCAATCTAATGGGGAGGGAACATGGGGTGCAGTCCCTGAGGTTGCTGACCTTGGGCCAGTTCTTCCTGTCAGATCCTGCAGAGCTCCCTCTCTAGTCCCATGCTCCTGGACTGGGTTTGGCGATCTTGCCCCCTAGTGGTAAGAATTTTTGGTACTGTTTTTGTAATTATTCTATGGGTAGTTGCATGCACATCTTTGTTCTCTGCATTAGGGGATGACTACAGGGTCCAACATGAAAGCTGGTGTGCTAGAGAGGCTTAAGAAGACCCTGGATGGACCCTGTGAATTCTGTCACAAGGACTGGGGACAAATCAGGAACAGAGTGATTTGAGAGACCATCCTTCACCAAGATGCTTGTGGACATCTGCCTATTTCCACTCACATGTTTGTGTCTCGTGTGATATTCTATCTTGTGAACCTCCCTGTAAGCAATTTTGCTGTCAGTTAATTTGCAGCTACAAACCTAGGTAGCGGCATTAAACAAAAGTTTATTTTGCTGTCAGTTAATTTGCAGCTACAAACCTAGGTAGCGGCATTAAACAAAAGTTGCATAGCCTGATTTTACATTAAAGAAATGTAGATCATTGGATCATTCCAGGCTCGCCATGGCTTGACCTCACTTGGGCTTTTTTGTTGTTGTTCTTTTTTTTTTAGTACTTTCCTTATTACGGCAAGATTGTGTTCATGTGTGTACAGTAGTCAAAATGACAGAAAACTATACACAAGATCAAGTCTCCTTGATTCCCATTTTCCCAGGCCTATATTTGTTACCTTTACTTTTGTATTTTATTATTATTAACTCTCAATAGTTTCCTTATAGTTTTACATTTCATGTATTAATATAGCACAGTACCCTCTTCTCCTTGCCACTTTGTGAAATGTGCTCTGTGTTAATTTAAATTTAGCAATATTCATAAAGGGAGGGGAGCCTGATTAGACAACAGCATGGGACTAGGGGAGAGAAGAAAATAAAATGAAGGGTAATTGTGGGGTTAGATATCATCAAAATATTTAACATGCATGGATGAAAGTAACACATTCAAACCCAATATTTTGTAAAAGTGTATGTACCTAATAAAAACTTTATGAAATACCTATCTCTGCTGAATTTCCTTATTGTTTCTTATGCTCCAGTGAATAGCAGTATGTTTGTGATAACTACTTGTGATTTTTGAGAAACATTTCAGTTAGAAGCCTTGCCCCTGGGTGATTCCTACAGGAGGCTGACTCGCCCCTCCGATATTCCTTTCTAAACAGCACTCTGACTCTGAAGTCGGCCCAGGATCACGACTGTAAGCAAGTGAATATCAGCAGGAGTGATCCAGGCAGGATATTACCCCTGATAGTCTTCCCCACCTGTCTATAATGGTAATTTTATAGCAAGACATTTTAAAAATCAATTAGCAGGCTATTACTGTGTTGAGACAAGATGTGCTCACCGTGCCTGTCACATAATTAGACTGCTGAACCTGGTCAGTCTTGCCCATCTATGTACAGCTGCTTTTCATAGATAGCCTGGGTCATGTTAGCCTGTCCTACTGCCAGCTGCAAGGACTATATTTTCTCACCTAAAAATATAGCTTGTTTCTTTAATGTGCTTCACAGACTTTCTACCCGGGACAAATAACCCAGTCAAAGACACCCTGAACTCTGTGCACTCTGCTCACACCTCCTTTCCCACAATGTCCCTGCCTCATAACAACGTCCTTTGGTTAGTACTGCCTGACAATGTATGACTTAGTGCATGTAACTAATTACATGATAACCTCCTATCAGCTTTGTACTTCCTGCTTACAAAATGTATATAAATTCCTGCTTGACTCTCAGTCAGGGCTGGTGATTGGGAACTGATGCCTACCAGCCTGCCAGCATAATAAATCATTGTCTTCCAAACTCCGTGGTGCAGAACGCCTTCCTTTCAATTCACTACTGGGTTTCTGCAAAACATCCACACACACCCTTCCCTTAGTTACTTTTATGGTTGCTGAGTCAAAATATCCAGCAGCCTTAAGTTGGAAGCTCATAGTTTGTAGGGCTTTTGGTCCATAATCAGCTGGCCCCAAGGCACGCTGCAATGACAGAGGGGCCATCACAGAGGAGAACAGTCCATGGCATGGAAGCAGGCAGTAAGCAGCAAGCAAACAGCAGCAGCAGCCTCCCTTCCCTTTCACACCCCATCCAGGCTGCAAACAGCTGCATTGAACCTTCCCATCATCCACAGCCAAAATTATGATAAACTAATTAGGGCACTAATTCAGTGCCACACACTTAATGCCAGAATCGTACACCGGAGGTCAGTGATGGTAAATCTTTTAGAGATGCTTGCCCAAAGTGTAACCCAAAACCCATTCACTCATTTGTTTCAAAGTTCCCACTCTGCAATTAAACCCGAACACTGAGGTTTTAGTTTAGAAAAAACAATTCATACATTAATACCTTTCATTGTGAAAGAAAAACAACACATATGAGTTAGGTTTGCTACCACTGGGCTAGATCCAGCCTCCTCTGAAATCCTCCACATATGACTGCATGAGACTTTTAGAAGCCATCTAGATTCAAGCCCTAACAACCATGACCCCGTGTCTCTCAGGTTCACTGATGGTTAGGTTTATGTTTAGGGTTAGGGTTAGGATTAGGTTAACAGAGTTAGGGATTGGTGTAGGGAAAAGGATAGGGCTATTCCAGCACCAGGTTTAGGATAAAATCAGGTTCACCAGTGTGCATGATAGAATTAATTTTATGGTTATATGTAATTTTCAGGAGTAACATTAAGAATAGGGCTAGGGATACGGGAAGCACAAGGGTATACGCTAGGGCAAGGAAAAGGCCTGAGGTTTCAGAAGTTTTAGGGTTAAAGGCAGGGATCCACCAGTTGAGGGTTAGTGCTGGAGTTGTTTTGTGTTAGAGTTAGGTTTCAGGTTAGGTTCAGTATAGAAGTCGAGGTTCATGTCAGGACTAGGATTAGCATTAGGACAAGGACTAGGTTTCCCCATGGTTAGGTTTAAGGTTAATGTTACATTTAGGATTAGGACTAGTGGTAGGGCTAGGGTAGGAGCTAGGCCTAAGGTTACCCTTAGGGTTACTATTAGATTTAGGGCGACTGATACAATTAAGGATAAGTGTTTATTTAGGGTTAAATTTACAGGTAGCTTTATGGTTACATTTACGGATATGTCTATAGCTAGGGCTGTGGTTAGGGCTAATTCTAAGTTGAAGTTAGGTTTAGGGTTAGGGTTTTGATAAGTTCAGGAGTCATCCCATCACTCCCCCAATCTTTGGGAGCTCAGCTACAGATCCATGTATCTTCCCTTTGGAGTCTGGTCCATGGCCTTTACCTTTCACTTATCAGGCATATGGCCTTTCCCAGGACACTCTTGCTCTAGGCGGATGCAATGCAGAGGCCAGGTGTTCACCATCTGAGGGAGGGGGCTGGGGACCACACATAGAAGGCCATCGAACAGTCTAAGGCGGCTCTCAATCTGGAGGACATATGGCCAGCAGGGGAGGGGCTGAGGTAAGTGCCAGCTGAGCCACTCCTGGGCTCAGAGAGCCAAAGATACTTCTCTGTGTCCCTGGTCCAACCATTTTGCCTTGCCTCAGCCTCTTCAGATACACGTGTACACACACAGACACACACACACACACAGACACACACACACACACAAACACAGCCATTTATATATACAAATACAGAAATACAAACATGCACAATCATTCTTCCACGTAAATGTTCAAACAGGTACATACAGACACATGCACATCCTCAAGCTGTCATTCTGTGGAGGGAGGAGATGGAGGTCTTGTTCTATTGCCCAGATTAGTCTGGAACTCAAAATCCGCCTGTATCTGTCCCGGGAAGTAGCTGAGATTATGGGAATTCACCACCCATTGCGCAGCTTCATGGGCTACTTTGGGGAAAGTGGCATCACCTGGGTCACTATTAGCAATTCACTCTTTCTGTTGCTCAACTTTATACTTTCTGTAATTTGAGGCATCAGATGCAGTTTGAAGCTAGTTCTTCTTTGGGGTTTTGTCACTGCTGTGGGTAATTGTGGTTGAAAGATTATGGCTGATTTCCAAGCAATTTAGGGAGCTCTTGTTTCAAGATGGGAAATTGTCCTGGTGTTGGACAAAGCTGTATAAGAAAGCTTGTGTTTGTGAAGCTTACATTTTTCTGTAGGTTCTGTGGGATTCTTTACAGATTGTTCAAGCTGGGCTACTCATTGGGCAACATATGGAAGGGCTTGAGTACCTGTGGTTTCCTGGGATGATCTTTCTTGAATGCTGTGCTAGGAGTCAGGGAGCAGGCAGGTTCCTCATGGTGGAGTCAGATTGGTACAGGCCTTGTTAGAGGACGTACCTCATTAGTAGAGATATAGATTGTCTCAGGGAAGATCAAATTGTTCACACTGGTTACTTTTGGGGAAGGGACTTGAGCTGCTGGGAGCAGGGGCTTTGCACTGAGAGGGACAGGGCTTTAAGAGTTCCCCATTGGAAACACTTAGAAGTGGTAGGGCTCAAGGGGTGTCAGTAGGCGAAGGAAACGAATTAAGCTGGTCTGAGCCTGGCATTTGGCCTTGGATCTTCTCCAAGGTAAGATTGTAGATATGGGATGCAGAAGAGGCCTTTCCCATCTTCAGCCATGTGATATGTCAGCCCAGGGAGGATTCTTTTATCTGCCTGATAGTGTCTCATTATGGCTTTTCCCTTGGGCAGAGGTCAGGCCCTGTGTGGGAGTAGAAGATAGGGAAGTTCCACTTCCTGAATTTATGGATTTATTTTTCCCTTTGGAGAAAGAAAGCCACTTGCTCAAGGAGTTTTGACTGGTTTTGTTGTCCTTATGAGACATGATCTCTCTGTGCAGTTCTGGCTGACCTTGAGCTCACTTATGTAGTCTAGGCTAGCCTTGAACTCACAATGATCCTTCTGCCCTAGTCTGTCGAGTTCTGGGATTACAAGCATGCACCACCATGCCCAGCTTCCAAGGAGTTTTGGACCCATTCAACTCTTCTTCCCTTTGAGAGATGCAGGTCTAGGTTAAGGCAGCAGGACTCCAATGCAAGCCCTGCTTGGTTGATAATCAAGCTCTGCGAGGGTCAGGGAGAAGATCTGGTGTTTGCTGACAGCAATCAGAGAAAATGAGGTGTGGAGGAAGGTAGAGAGGAGGAGCTACAAATAAGTTGATTCACTCTAAGTTTACCTAGTTCTAAAGTGGGAATAAATTGTGGTCACTGTGGAAAATAAGGAACAATGAGGTTTGCCTAGAGATGGCGAGGAAGGAGGCAGGGTTTTGGAAGAATGTAGGATGGGCAGGTTCAGCTTGGGTCACAGGGAGCCTGAGCAGTCAAGCTGGGAGCCTTTGTCTGAGAATTTATGGCCAGTGGGTGCAACAGGACCAGAGAACTGATTTAGGTATCTTGTGTGAGTACAGGAAGGGAACGGGAATTTAAAAAATTTTTCATGTTTTTTGGGGGGAGGATTAGTGTGGTGGCTAATCTCACAGGTCAGCTTGATTCAGCTAAGAGATTGCCAGGTAGCTGGTGAAAGAGTGTTTGTGGCGGTGCCTGTGCAAGGACTGCCAGGAGAAATTAGTATTTTCGTAGGTAGACTGAGGGCCACCTCACCATCATGGGTGGGCGTCATCCAGGCTGCTGTTGGCCTGAATCCAACAGAAAGGCAGAGAAAGGGCAAAGGAGCTTCCTCTTTTGGAGCTGCACCTCTGTCTTCTCCTGCCCTCGGCCAGCAGCAACCCTGGATCTCAGGCTTTCCCACCGGACTGAATGGCACACCAGCTGTCCTGGGCCTCTGGCTTCTCAGCCTGCACTATCAGGGGAGCTGAACCCTCATTATAACTCTCCTTCTGTATATCTACAGATCTCGTATTCATTATGTTTCTCTGGAAAGTGCTAAGACAAATAGAAAGTATAGCTGGCTATGGTGGTGCACCCCTGTGATGGCAGCATTCTGGGAAACAAAGCATGCTGGCAAGTTTGAGCCCAACCTGGGAATCTTAGTGACTTAATGGGACTCCGTTTCAAAATTTAAAAAATGGACAAGAGGCTGTGGTTGTAGCTCAGTGTGAAGGCAGTGCACTCAG